CCCAGCCCCTCGAGCCCCCCCGGTGCCTCACCCCCGCCCGTTCCCGCGGTCTCACCGCTATCCCCGTCCCCGTCCATCGCCCCCTCGGTGTCCCCGGAGCCCCCGGCTCCCTGCTCGGGCCCCTCCGCCGCCATCGCGCCGTGCGGGACCCGGATGTGGCGGCACAGAGCGGCCGCCGGGGAGGTGGCGGCGCCTAGCGGGCGGGAGGACCCGCAGCGCGGCCGCCATAGAGAAACAACGGCAGCGGGAGAACCATAGAGACGCGCCGGGCGGGCAGAGCGGCTTCCGCTGCCGCCGCCACAACCATAGAGACAGGAAGAAAAAGCCGGAACGGCCCGCTGGGGAAAACACCAGTATAAACCAGTATAAACCAGTACAAACCAGTACAGGGAGCTCCGCACCAACCGCAGAAACTTCGGCGGGTGCGACACCGCTATAAACCACTACAAGCGGGTGTTGACCCACCATAGAGACTTTGAGGGAGAAGGGGGATCATAGAGACGCGGGCGGGGCGGCGGTGCGCCCCCTAGCGGGCGGGAGGAGCCGAGCTTTACTGCAACCTTTATTGTATTTACAGCGGAGCTGGTAAAAATTTGTACATTATTTACAAATTAAATAATTCCGCCACCGCTTCGGGGGGGAAAAGGAGCGATTTTGGGGTCCCTCCCCTCCCCCTGCCCCCAAATGAGGCAATTTCGAAGGAATCCACCCAAAAAAAACCCCCTCAAACAGACCCCCCCAAAAAAAAGATGATTTTGGCTCAAAATGGGTAAAAAAAAAACCACGGAAGGGTTCAAAATCAACTCCCCGAAGCGGCGCCGCTTCGTTATTGCCGAATTCCTCATCAAGCCACTCAAGCTGGGGCCAAAACCGCCCGAAAAAAAACGAAAAAAGAAATAAAAAATCCGCCTCCAAGCCGAAAATCCCAATTTGGCTCCTTTTGGCCCCAAAACTCCCCCCCAGCCCCCGCTCCGGTGCAAAAGGCGCCGTTTCCCGACCATTCCGGCCGCGGGGTTGCGGAGTTTTGGTTTTTCCCTGAGAATTTGGGGTTCCAGAGGCACTGGGGGCGCGGCCGGCCCGGGATTTGGGCCAAAAACGGCCGGAATTGGGCAAAAGTCAGCGAGAAACGCGAGCCCGGCCGGCACAAACCGGCACAAACCGGTTTGGGAGAGGAGGGGGAGGGGTCTGGGGGGAGGGGTTAATACTGTTAATGGGGGGAGGGGCAGGATTCCCAAAATTCCAGGGGGAACCCCGAAATTCCGCGGAGGGGGACCCAAAAATTCCCAAATTCCCGGGAAAACGCCGGAATTCCCACGGGCGGGGCCCGAAGCCGGGGGGTGGGAGCCCCAAAATTCCATTTGGGACCCCAAAATTCCACCTGGGGACCCTAAAAATTCCACCTGGGGATCCCGAAATTCCACTTGGGGATCCCAAAATTCCACTTGGGACCCCAAAATTCCACTTGGGGATCCCGAAATTCCACTTGGGGATCCCAAAATTCCACTTGGGACCCCAAAATTCCACCTGGGGATCCCGAAATTCCATTTCAGACCCCAAAATTCCACCTGGGACCCCAAAATCCCAGGGGGGTCAGAGGTCAAAGCCCCCCCCGGGGTGGATTTGGGGAGGGGGGGACGCCCCAAAACCCCCCGGGAACAACAGGGACCCGATCCCAGCTCGGGGGGAAATGGGGAAAAACGGGGAGAAATTGGGAAAAATGGAGGGAAAATGGGGAAAAATTGGGAAAAAATGGAGGGGAAATGGGGGAAATTGGGAAAAAATGGGGAAATTAGGGAAAAAATGGGGGGAAATTGGGAAAAAATTTGAGGGAAATTGGGAAAAATTTGAGGGAAATTGGGAAAACATTGAGGTAAACTGGGGAAAATTGATGGAAATTGGGAAAAAATGGGGGAAAATTGGGAAAAGTGGGGGGAAACAGAGGGAAAAGG